CAAAACCATAGCTAAAGTGAGTTTCCAATGAATAACATACTTTCTAAGTAGTTTTACATTTTAAAGTTAAAAATTTTATCTAAATTTGCTTGAGATGTCTTCTCCTCCTAATTCGGTGTTCCAAGTTATATTCATAAAACCCATTATTTCTCACCTAAATTGACTACATTCTTTGCCCAGAAGGTGGGATCACAATGGAAACGTATTGCTCCATTAGCAGCAGGGACAGGATCACACCGTGCTTTCAAAATATGACGCAACTGAAAAGTAATCTTAAAGGGAAAAATATCCACATTAGTCTCAAAATTAAATATCAATTGGGAAAACATAAGATAAAGACATTAAGAAAAAAAGCACATATATTCTCACAATGTCAGCCTCAGATTAGGCAGTGTCAATATTTAAGTTAGCAATCAAATCAAATGTACATGCTTGAATTTTTGCCATTTCGTGTAATAAATTTCATTAAGATACTAGGTATCTTCAAAAGAGTACATGTTAGATAATTCCACTTATATGAAATTCTAAAAAATGATAGAAACCAGATTAGTGGCTGCCTAGGGGAACAAGGAAACTTTGGGGGGTGATGGAAGTTTTCTGTATCTTGATGTGGTGGTGGTACATCTGCCAAAATTAAAATGTATATTTTAAACAGGAGCAGTTCACTGAATATAAATAATCTCTTAATAAAATCCATTAAAGAAAAATAGTGTGTGTCTCACCAGTCGCTTGCTGTACAGTAGTGCTGTGCTGCTGCCACTTGCAATTGCCCAATTTGTGAAGTTCATAACATGCTTCACCTGCCGGGAAAGGCCTGTGATGTCATTCTGCTGCTGTAGTAACTTCATCTGTCTTTCTTTTGTAACATTCTGAAATAGAACAAGAGCTTCACTGAAGAATTCTATATGAAAAAAAATCAACCCCAAGTTTCTAATGCAAATAGGCACAATGCCTATACTTCCTTTAAAAATGGGATAAGTGCATAAGCTCCATGATTATTTAGCTAGCTTATCATCAATCAGAGGAAAAGCCACTAACAAAAGTGGAACTAAAGCTTAGTTCTCTAAGCTAAAAAGGATATTCCACATACAGAAATTAATGTTAGTTACTGTCTCTTTTCTATCAACACATGTCTGTTAAAAATAGTGTCCTCCTATTAGGTTAATCTAAAAATATGGTATTTATAGCATAAGGAGCTAACTTTAGAAATAAATTTATGTAATCTTAACTCTGTACTTTATAGGTCAAAAAATTTTGTGTCACCAGTGCCACCTCCTGGTGTGGCATAAGAATGAAGTTAAAATCTCTCTTAAATATCCAGAACAAATGAAAAAGATAACTTCTAGAGTTCTAAAAGCAGAATTAAGGAAACTTTTGATATGACAGAAGTTCATTAAGAACAAAGAAGTGAGGACTGACCAAACTGGAAAAACCAATTTCAGAGAAACACTGCAAAGGAAAAATAAACTGCTTTATGGGAACTAAAATCATCCCAGGAGGGATGGGTAATGTCCTACATACTTTTGACATTCAGAATGCTAAACAACTCATCTATTTGTTTCTTAAGAACTTTCTCCCAAAAACAACTCAAGTTGGTTTTCTGGACAATATTTTTCCTAAGGAAAGAAGTTGTTCATTTTATAATGCAAATCAACGGATAAAAGTATTCAAATGACAGAAGTCTGGTTTATTACACCCCTTTTGCAAAGCTTAGGAAAACGTCTCTTCTACAAGGGTTTGTGGACATACTACACTAGAAAACATCTATTTTTAAAATTATCATGTTAGTAGTATGTGGTGTATTTATCATTAGTTATTTGTATACAAGTTAGCCTTAAGAGGCTTTTTTTTTTTTTTTTTTTTTGAGACAGGTTCTCACTCTGTCCCCCAGGCTGAAGAGCAGTGGTGCAATCCTGGTTCACTGCAAAGTCGGCTACCCAGGCTCAAGGAATCTTAAGAGGCATCCTTTAATTCAGAAACTCTTGAAAGGGTTTTACAAATACTACTTTAGACATACAGCTAAAATGAATTTACAGTAAGTTTAAGTGTATCAAAAATAGTTACTAAGTGCTCTCTACTCACATGGGTCCTTCTGGGGGAAAAAAAATCTATTAGGGTTAAATGCAACAGCCGGTGTGCAGTAGGAAAGGAACCCCACAACTTTAACAATCTGCACAAGAGTACTTTTCTTTTCTTTTCTTTTTTTGAGACATCCAGGCTGGAATGCAATGGTGCGACCTTGGCTCACTGCAACCTCTGACTCCCAGGTTCAAACAATTCTCCTGCCTCAGCCTCCCAAGTAGCTGGGATTACAGGCACACACCATCATGCCTGGGCTAATTTTTGTATTTTTTTTTAGTAGAGACAGGCTTTCACCATGTTGGCCAGGCTGGTCTCGAACTCCTGACCTTGTGATTCGCCTGCCTCAGCCTCCCAAAGTACTGGGATTACAGGCGTGCACCACTGCGCCCGGCCAAGAGTACTTTTAATCTCACAAACTGTGTTTCACTGGAAAGATATATTCCATTCAGAGATAACATTCTGCTGACATAATCTGATTTGTATGCAACTATGTGCCTTTTTTTTTTTTTTTTTTTTTGAGACGGAGTTTCATTCATGTTACCCAGGCTGGAGTGCAATGGCGCGATCTCGGCTCACCGCAACCTCTGCCTCCTGGGTTCAGGCAATTCTCCTGCCTCAGCCTCCTGAGTAGCTGGGATTACAGGCATGCGCCACCATGCCCAGCTAATTTTTTGTATTTTTAGTAGAGACGGGGTTTCACCATGTTGACCAGGATGGTCTCGATCTCTTGACCTCGTGATCCACCCGCCTCGGCCTCCCAAAGTGCTGGGATTACAGGCTTGAGCCACCGTGCCCGGCCTGTGCCTAATATTTTTAAAGGGTTCTATGAAGAGATGGGACAGAAAAAAAAAAAAAAAAAAAACCAACAATTTGAAGTTAAAGGAAGTAGTCAAATGTATCATTTCATTATTACTATTCAATGCTGCAGAAAAAATAATCCCCTTATCATCTGAGCCTAGTTAAGAGCATGAAATTTGTAATCAGGAAACATTTTTCTTTCTAAAACTTTGATTTCCCAGAAAACTCACATTTGAAATTTGCTAAAAACAAATCAAATGGGCAGTAGAGTCTTTGATTAAAAATTTAGATTTCACAAACTGACTAGATTTTCATCCAGAAACTTACATCTACAAATTAACCTCAAAATATGCAACATAAATACCTAATATCACAAAATTATCGCTAAGTTTAAGGTTTACAAATTTCAAAATAAGCAGCACTTTCTGCAAAACTATGGAAATATTTTTAAAATAAGGTGAAACACACAAATGACTCAAGCAGAAGCCCAACATGCATCTAAATGGAAAAGTTAAATTGAGGCCCCATCTTAAGGGGTTGGGGAAGAAATGTGGTGGGACTGCTTTGCCTTCATGTACATCACATTTTAGTAACATTTCTTTTTCTTTTTTTTCATTTTGGAGACAGGGTTGTACTCTGTTGCTCAGGCTGGAGTGCAGTGACACAATCACACTTATTGCAGTCTCGACCTCCTGGGCTCAGTCGATCCTCCCACCTCAGCTTCCCAAGTAGCTGTGGCTACAGGCACATGCCACCACCCTGGCTAATTTTTTATTTTTTTGTAGAGGCAGATTTTGCCATGTCGCCCGGGTGGGTCTGGAACCCAGGGCTGAAGCAATCTGTCTGCCTTGGGCTCCCATAGTGTTGGGATTATAGGCGTGAGTCACCGTGCCCAGTCCTTAGTAACAATTATTAGATTTCTAAGAGGATATCACTATCTCCTAAGGTATACAGCTAAAGTCAGTGTTATTAAATTGGGCTGCACAAGTAACTAACTAGAAAAGGTCTCTTTTCCAAAAATAAATTTTAAAAACCTTATTTTTAATTTTCTATTTCCATACCCCCCAACCCATCTAAAAGAGTTTTCAATAAACATTAAAAACAGCTAAAGAGCAAGAGAAGCAGTTTTTGTTTTATTTTGGCTTTGAACCATACCTCTAGCTGCTGTAAGAGAGATTTTCCTTTCTTATTAATTTCATTGATAAGGGTGAAAATGGCCACTTTAATTTCCTGTTCTACTCGTTTGTTAGTCTCATTTACTTCTTTTATCCTGAATAAGAGAAATGCATCATTAGGTTATCAACTTATCCTAGGTCTTTGAATCATCAACTGTCACAGAAATTCATCCTGGGCATTTAACCGAGTAATTAAAATAAAAGCTTTGTCAAAATGTACAACTTACGTTTCAGCAGACCTGACCACTCAATTTGTTCCAAACAAGTTATATATACAAACAAAGAATGAAATTAATATTTAATAATTTTAAATTATGCTCATAAAGGCCAGTTTTTGCTGGATGGCAATCTCCTTAAGTAACTATGACATAAATATGATGCACAAACACCAAACACCAGTGACTGCTGGTTAGTGTCCAATGCGGCACATTGGTTCTGTTTAATCTTGATGCTTTCCAAGAACAATGTGCAAAAGGACAATGTCACATGCAATAATTATCTTTTGAAAGGGTAAGAGTTAAACTTAGAAGCATTTATTTTCATTTATAACTTAGCCACTTCAAACGTGGGTTCTGATATACTCCCTCAAAAATTACTTTCAAAGCGGTTTCCTACTGCATATAGTAAAGGGCATAAAACATTTTCAATCCATTTTTAAGAGTAGCTATTAGATGTTTTAGAAATAGGTGTAAGCACTCAAAGCAGTTATGGAAATTTTAGGTGCAAATATGAAGTGGTTGATATGTTGGTAATTACAAAACAGGAAGTGGAGAATCCCACCAATATAAATATATAAGATGTCAACCACTAACCATAACACGTAGCCTTCAGTTTTTATACATTCTACTTCTGTAAAAACTATAACCATGCTTTCAGGTCCTAAATTGTCTTTCATTTGCCAAGTTTAGATTTAGTACCTTTAATAGACTCCAAGCAATCATGTAATTTTTTCCTCCTCTGTACATCGTTTGGCTTACTTGAAAATTTTGAGTTCGGTCCTTATTTTACTAAGGTGAGTGGAAGATATTTTTAAAAACATATAAAGGTACTAATAACTAGTGATAAGAAATATAGGTTTCAAAACAAATAATGAAAAATAAAAAAAATAAAAAGAAATATAGGTTTCAAATGTAAAATGACTGAGCCAAAGATAGAAATGAGTTAGCATTTAGCATCTCTGCTGAAAGCAGAGAGCAGTTAGCCTCAGTCAGACTCTGCTGAACTTAACCAAGTCTACTGCATGTTCAATTTTGAAAAAAATGCACATTAAAAAATAATGGAGATAGGTCAGTGAAAAATGGGTCTAAAAGGCGAAGTTATCGTTAGACATTTTAATACTGTTCTTTAAAAAACTTTCTACAGATGAAATCAATCTCCTCAACCCTGTGCAATCTTGTAACAGGTAAACCTCCTGCTCTCCTTCTGTACACAGGTTTTGGAAGACATATACAAAACGTATTTAAAAAATACAATGTACATACAAAACATCTGTATAAAAATATGGGACTGCCATTATGAATCAACTGACTATATTTCCTTTGAAAGAGACACCATCTACCATTTCTGAGAAAAAGTCATCCTCTTCAAATCAATCGTTATCACCAGTTTAACCTAAAACAACTGAACATTTCCAAAACACCAAAACCAAAAACCCACCATTGTGCGTGCGAGCATACGCGTGCATGTGTATGTGTACAATCAAAAAGCTCTGAGGAGCTTCTTATTTTCTTTTGGTGTTAGTTCTTAACATAAAAACTTCTACCATGTGTAAAGTACTTTTCTCACTAATTCATTCAATTATTTAATACTTTTGAGCATCTACTATGTGTCATTTAAATAATAAATTAATTTAAATATTCATTAGAAGTCCTAATATTTGTGAGTCTATACAATAAACACATATTAACCCTAATAACCCCCAGGAATTTTAGTTTTAATTATGCCAGCTCAAAGTGCTTGCCTCTCTAGTGTTTAAGAGTCATAACTTTGTTAATTTGCTCTCTCAGAGAACCTACTCTTACTTACCAATAAATTTATTTAGAAATATACCAAAATAGAATACTTTTTAAATAATGGTGATGGTAATTATAAATATAACAGCAGCAGCTAAAATCTAAGTGCTTACTATGTGCAAGAAACTGTATCATGTATTCATCTTATAATGCTATTCATAAGATAAGCACTGTTTTTAATGCTTGTTTTATACGTGGGGAAATAATTTGTCCATCAGTGATACTCTCTTCTCTATATTGTATCTTCCACACAATCTCCACTTTAAATTGTATAATTCAACTCTTTCCATACTATTTATTTTTCCAAATTTAAGGTTTAACATAGACTAGAGTCTTCTTAATTATAAAATAGTCAAAGATGTATCCTAAAACGGTACAGAAAAGTTTGGTCAATTAAATTTTGCTTAATTAGCAATTATAATCCCAAATTCATATCATTTTTCCCTCAAAAAAAAATGTTCTCTTTATATGCTTAATATATTAACAGGAAAACAGATTTAAACTGGACCAACTTCTCTTTAATAATTCTAAAATAAAATTATGGCTTTAAAGCAACAAACTCACCTATTCTGCACCTGAGTAGCTGCAAAATGAACATAATTCTTCTTCTCAAGAAGTTTAGCCAGTAGATTCTCAATTGCACCTTTCTGATTTTGAAAAGCTTCTTCCAAAAACTGGTACCTTAAAACCAGAACAAAACTACATTTAAAACAAAACATTTATGAAGAACAGCTACATAAGTCAACCCTGAAACCTTAATTAAGTGATCAACTCTCTATGCTGGCCACTCATACCTTATCTCAATAGTAACTTTTAGTTGGCAACCTCCAACTCTGACCCTGAAAGGCCATTATAAAAGAAAAAATTACTCACGTAATGGTTGAGTTGCTCTTATATTAGAGTTTTGATTCAGGATTACATCTTTTTAAAAATTCAAATATTGGCTAAGTTATATATATTTTAAATTGTAAAACATAACCACATTATAGAAAATGCTATAAAGGGAAGGGAAATCACCCATAGTTCCAACATCACAAAATCACTGCTACCACTGTAATATATAGTTCCTTAATCTTTTAATTATGCATTTACTTACTTACTTTTTTTTTTTTTCTTTGAGACAGGCTGCACTACTGTACTCTGTTGCCCAGGCTGAAGTGCAGTAATGCAATTTAATGGAGACAAGGTCTCACTATGTTGCCCAGGCTGATCTCAAATTCCTGGTCTCAAGTGATCCTCCTGCCTTGGCCTTTCAAAGTGCTGGGATTACAAGAGTGGGCTACCACATGTGGCCTAACTATGCATTTTTAAATGCAATTATAATAATAATAAACATGCAAATATACATCGGCTTTTATTCTTTATCTTGTCTTTATAATTACACTAAAATAATTTTTCAGTTCTGAATGCCATGTACTGTCAAACTTTCCACAAGGGTTATATCAATATAAAACATCACCAACACCAGTTTTACTTTAACTTTGTCAGCATGGGTTCTGTATGTTAAAATTTTCTAATTATAATAGTAAAAATACAGACTCCAGTAACATTTCTTTGGATTCTAGGAAGCTAGAATAATAGTTTTGTTTGTTAGTTCTATTTCACTTTGTAAATAAAGGCCGGGCATGGTGGCTCACACCTGTAATCCCAGCAATTTGGGAGGCCAAGGTAGATCACCTGAGGTCAGGAGTTTGAGACCAGCCTGACCAACAAGGTGAAACACCATCTCTACTAAAAATACAAAAATTAGTTGGCATGGTGGTGCATGCCTGTGATCCCAGCTACTTGGGAGGCTGAGGCGGGAGAATTGTTTGAACCCAGGAGGCAGAGGTTGCAGTGAGCCAAGATCACACCACTGCACTGCACTCCAGCCAGCCTGGGCAATGGAGCAAGACTCCATCTCAAAAAAAAAAAGGGGCACAAATATAAAATGATACCATACTGTGACAAGAGATATAATTCAAGTATATATAATCTACAAGAAACCACTGCCTAAATCGGCCTCAATAACAAGGAAAGCAAAGCATCACAGAGAAGTAAGAATAGCATCTTATGCTAGGTACATAGACATGTTTGAGGCACATAAATACTTCAATATGGCCAAATAAAAACATACAAAAGTCAGAATATGAGACAATAACTGATAAAATCCAGAGGCAAACTGCGAAAGGCCAAGTATACCATGCTATTTGTGCATTTCATTCTCTAAGTAATGGAAAACCTCTGAAGAATTCTAACTAGAATGTAATAATCATACTTAAAGACCCAAAGAAGGGAATAGAAGGGAAAGACCAGCTAAAACTCTAAGACAGTAGCTTATATGAGAGATCAGGGTACAGTACTGGTTGGTACAGCCAAACAAGCTGGAACTGACTTTGACAGTGAGATCAGCAGATTTGAGAGGTTATGTGTCAGTTATACCAAGGTCCATGGTACAACCTGAAAACTGAATGCCTAGTGGCACAGTCAAAAACCAAATCACTGGAAATGAGGAGTTCACAATTACTGTGTAATTGACTATATGGGCACTGAAATCACAAAAGTAAAGGCAGAAATACTATGAGCATCTAGATGTCCGCTGTTTCTTAAGTGGAAGTCTCAGCTAAGGCAGACAAGAGGGAAGACTATGAAACTGTTAACATAAAGAAAAGTTTGTTAAGATAAAGGGAAGTTTTCTTAGTAGTGGGATACAAAAGGTACAGGAAGAATGGAGGACAGTAGGAGAGAAAATGTATAGCAATACGGGAATTTCTCTTAGAGAAAATAGCTGGTGCACTGATTTTATTGTGGTAAAATATACATAATAAAATTTACCAGTCTGAACTTTTCTTTTGAGACAAGCTCTCACTCTATCGCCCAGGATGGAGTACACAGGAACCATCACAGCTCACTGCAGCCTCAAACTCATGGGCTCAAGCAATCCTCCTGCATCATTCTCCTGGGTAGCTGGGACTACAGACACATGCTCTTTTTTTTTTTTTTTCCACTTTTTTGTAGAGATGAAGTCTTGCCATATTGCCAAGCTGGTCTCGAACTACTGGTCTTAAGTAATTCTCCTGCCTCGGCCAAAGTGCTGGGATTACAGACATGAGCTACCACGTCCAGCCCAATCGTACCATTTTAAAGGAGAATATTTTTAAAGCTCAACTGTCTACAAAGTTGAGCAACATTCTAACTTGTATAAGATATTAACAGCACAAAGAAAGCACATGAGTATTTTAAGATTCTTTTTTTTTTTTGAGATGGAGCCTCCCTCTGTTGCCCAGGCTGAAGTGCAGTGGCATGATCTTGGCTCATGCAACCTCCGCTCCCAGGTTCAAGCAATTCTCCTCCTCAGCCTCCCGATTAGCTGGGACTACAGACCTACACCACCACACCTGGCTAATTTTTGTATTTTTAGTACAGACAGGATTTCACCATGTTGGCCAGGCGGATCTTAAACTCCCGACCTCAGGTGGTGTGCCGGCCTTGGCCTCCCAAAGTGCTGGGATTACAGGTGTGAGTCACCACGCCTGGCAAGAAACTTTTAAAGAGGCTTTACTATTGGATAGGGGAACCAAAATTTTTTCCTTCATTAAAGAGCAACATTTGATTCATCCCATATACTATGATTTCTCTACATCCAATAAAAACTATTCCTATGTTAAATCTGAACAAATAAAGCAAAAATATGAGGATTCCATGCTAACCCTTTTGACTTAAGCTTTATTTACATTGTGATGAAAAAGCAACCTTTTTGAAGGAGAATTTGATTATGTCAACAAACAGGCATTTGGTAGAAGGGTTAACTAGATTGAAATTCACAAAATTCTAACTCATAAAAATTTAACCTTGTATAAATTCTTCTTATCCTAAAATAAATATTTTTCAAAGTCCTATTTCTAAATATATCTAATTACATTCATATGAACAAGAAACAAGCAAACACATCATTTTCCTAAATATGATATACCTAGGTAAACTGATTTTTCTTTACGTAATCAAAATTACAGCTGAAATGAGGAAGAATAATGCACAAATAAATTAAATGTTGTTTTGATTAATATGTAAATATCTCAAAGTAATTTCTTAGATTTTAATCTTGCATTTTAAAGTAGTAATTTCCTCCCTCTTTCCCCCGCCCCACAGACAAAAGTCTTACTGTATCACCAGGTTGGAATGCAGTGGTGTGATTTCGGCTCACTGCAACCTCCACCTCCCGGGTTTGAGCTATTCTCCTGCCTCAGCCTCCTGAGTGGCTGGGACTA